GCGGGGGGCGATGGGCAGCCGGGCGGTGGCAGTGGGTGGCGGGCGGTGGGCGTGGGGGGCGGTGCCCTGGTGCCCGCTGGCTGTTCTGGGTCTCTGCGGTCTGACAGCTCCTGACGCTCGCGGGTGGGGGGGTAATGGACGTCTTCCAGATGAGGCCTTAAGCCTGGCCGGCAGGTAGGGTAAAGGGGTTTGCAATTCAGGAACACCACCTGCGCGTGACCCTTTTAGCTAAAGAAGTTTCCTCGTAGTCTTTCCTTTCTTGGTTTGGAATGACAGTGTCTGGTTTTAGGACAGAGGGGCATGCGCTCCTGGATTTGAATCCCGGGCGTGCCACCTGGGCTGCTTACGCTCCTGCTCTGGGTCTCTGTGTCTCCTCTCTTTTGCCCTCCGCTGGGCTAACGGTCCCAGTTTGGGACTGGCCCGGAGCGGTCTATTGGTTCGATGCTGAGGGGTGCGGTGCGCAGGTCTCACCTGCACAAGTAGAGGCCGTGGGGCTGGCCTGGGAGGAGGGGAAAGCAGGTGGTTTGGGATGGAAGAGGCGGTGGGGCTTCAGGTTGGAAGAGGAGGCAGGGTGTGGGAGCGTGTGTGGGATGAGCGGGAGTGAAGTGGGCCGCAGGGTGGTGGGGAGTGAGCGAAGGAAGGCGGGGGAAGGGCCCAGAGGACCCCCAGGGAAAGGTGGGCGGAGCTAGCAAAGAGCGCTGGCCACAGTGGGCCACAGCGGGCTGAGGCTGAAGGTCAGGGGTGCTCTCCCTGGTGGCCTCTGTGGCATCTGCCACCAGGAGGGGAAATCTGCTCTTGGGAGCGTCCCTGGAGAGCCAGCAAGTGGGGCTTCTGAGGCATACACGCATGACCAGTAACTTCCAGGTCCTTTTCCTTTCTTAGTGATAATGGACAAATACCAGGAGCAGCCTCACCTCTTGGACCCGCATCTTGGTAAGAGTAGAGCTTGATGATCGTTATTGTTCATTTCATTCCATTGTAGACGTCGAAGGCACAGGTGCCACGGTCAGGCCCAGCCAGTGGGCTCGAGCGGAGCCTTGGCAGTGGCCTGAGTCCCGGCTGTCTCCAGGCTATGGAGAATGCGTCTGAGCAACTGTATTTCTTTTTTCGAAGAGAAGTTTCTGCTATTGGGCGCACGCGCTCGCTGGAAAGACGAGACAGACAGAAGCAAGAAATCACCCCAGGAGGGATGGCCACGCCGCAATCCCTCCTCCATTCTCCTCTCGGGATCTTGGGCATGTATGCACACGTGCCCGGTGTGTTTAAGTCACTGGGCCTGGGGCTTGAACCATAGTCGGTTACATGCGAGTCCAACGACGTAACGGCTAAGCCATCTGCCGGTCCCTACTCTTTCTTGCTGTCATCGAGAGAACACGTCTTGTTTCTCACGTGTGTCAGTCCACTTGCAGCCATTACTTGCTGTCGCTGGTAGCGTGAGCAGCTAAGGAGGGTGTCTGTGTCATCTCGATTTTACAGATGGAGACGGTGAGGCTCGGTCAGGGTGTGCTGTGAGAGTGAGCACGGCAGGCCCTCGCCCTCGATGAGGCCCAGCCAGCCACGCCCCCTTCCTCCATCTTCCGGCCTGTTGAGTCTGGGTACTTGGGCGGTGCCTGCTGTGTCCAGGCTGACTGGGCCAGGGGCTTGGCTGCAGTCCCCACGAGTGAGCTGGCCTCTGCCGGGCAGTGCTCCGCCGCGCTCCCCGCAGGTCCCCGTTCTTTTCTTTCTTAATTGCCAGAGGGCACACGTGCTCTCCAGAAAGAAAAGAGAGGGGAGAGGAGCCACCTGTGGCGTGGTGGTTAGGTGACTGTGTCCCATGCAACTGGCTGTGTGGTTCAAGTCTTGGACCCAGCAGCTTGAAAAACATGCCTGCATATGTGTGCGTGTGCCCAAAGTCCTGGGAGGAGAGCGGAGACGGCGCTTGGCCATCTCCTATGGAGTCCCCGTTTCCTCTCTTTCCTCAGAAGTAGGCTCAAAGCCTCTACCAAAGTAAAAAAAAGCAGAGGTGGCGAGTGGGGAGACTGAGCACCCCAAGGGCACAGCGTGTTTTAGCCCCTTCTCCTCCACTCCTTGCCAGGATTTTGGGCACACAAGAATGTGTGTCCAGATGTTTTCCAAGCCACCAGAGCCAGGATTGGAACTGCAGTTGGCCGTGTGAGATCTGGTTTTCTTTTTCAAGGTTTTGTAAAAAAACTATTTAACTTTGTTATTATAGTTTAATTTTGTTTTAATTTGACCAAAGAGAGAGAAAGAGAAAATGAGAAAGCAAGCCACCAGATGTGAGACTTGAACCGTGGTCGGCCATGTGGGAGTCCAGCGCCATAACCACACGCCACCCGCCACTCCCAAGAGGTGTTTTTTTTTTAAAAATAATTTTTTTTTTGAGAGAGATTTTTGCTGTAGAGTACTTACACTTGCTGGAAAAATAGAGAGACGGAGAGAATCAGCCACACCGCAATCCCCTTTTCTCCATTCTCCATCTTGGGCATGCGTGCACACACCCGGCATGAGTTTCAAGGCTCCAGGTCCGGGACTCGGACCGCTGTCCACCATGTGGGAGTTCAGTGCCTTAATCACCATGTCACATGCTGACCCCAATTTTATTTTATTCATTGTTATTTTTTTGAGAGAGATTTTTGCTATCGGGTTCGTGTGCTCGCCAGAGAGAGACACAGAGAGACAAAAAGTGAGAGATCACCCCGGGGGATGGCCACGCCACAGTCCTTTATCGTCCATTCTCATGGGATTTTGGGCATGCACTCATGCCAGGTGTGGTTTTCAGGGCACCAGGTCCAGGCTTGGGGTTGCGGTCTGCCCTGTGGAGGCCAGCTGCCTTCACCACCACACCACCTACTGGCCCGACTGACCAGTGACTCGCAGTGACCTCAATGCATAGAGAAAATCAGGTGTTACTGCGTTTCCTAGAGCAGGAGGCCGAGGCACAGCTCTGAGAGGTGGGTGGCCTGCCCAGGTCACAGCCAAGTGCTCCAAGCCAGGCTTGCACCTGCAGTCTGTCGCAGGCCCCTGCTTTGTGTCTGTCTTCTCGAGGATGAGAAGACCCAATGTCCTCGAGCTGTTTTAGACCAGTCACTTAGGGATCCTCGAGGTTCTGAATTCTAGAATTTGTGGGCGTCAGCCCTGTCTTCCCTCCCAGGAAGACTTTGGGGGCCCATCAGTACAGGAGGTCCTTGAGAGAGGCCGGCTGAAGGGAATGGGGTAGTGTCTGACTGAGGGGCACTGGAGGGGCGCCAGGCAGTGAGCTCCCTGCCACATCTGGTCTTAGGTCTTGGGCTCATGAACAAAGAAGCAAACATCGTGTATGTAAAGCAGGGCCACCTCGTGGCCCAGTGAATGGTCAGGGCCGGATCGCATATGGCAGCCGTAGTCTGAATCTCAGCCCTGCTGGCTTGAAAACATGCTGTTGTGGACGCGCCTCAGACTGCTGAGCGTGCTGACGGGGGTACGAAGGAGAAGGGTTGCGGTGTGGCCACGGCCCACAGGGGTGCTTTCTCCCTCCCTCCCTCCTCTGGCAAGTGCTCCCTGATAGTTAAAACAGAAAGGAGGGACCAGCAGTTAGCGTAATGGCTATGTCGCTGGACTCCCATGTAGCTGACCGCGGTTCGCGTCCCGGACCCGGTGGCTTAAACTCAAGCCAGGCTCATGTGCGTGTGTGCCCAAGATCCCGAGAGGAGAATGGAGGAGAAGGGACTGCGGCGTGGCCATCCCCCCGGGGGGGAGATTTCTCGCTTTCTCTCTCTGTCTCTCTGTCTTCCAGGTGCCCTATAGCAAAAACCTCTACAAAACAAAAGAGAACAAAAACCGGAAAGGAACTTCAGAGGAATACAGTAACTTTTCTGTTTCGCTTTCTTGATCCTCTGCTGATACTGGACTGTCCTCACACCCTTCAGTAAACCCTTGTCTGTTCTGACGTTGTGACTGCACCTCGCGTTGCTGTCACTGTCACCGCAGATGTCTGGTGTGTGTCTCCTCAGAGTGGATGGTGGACTTGCTGCTGGACGCAGTGCGAGACGGCACCTCTGCCCCGGCCCTCGTGCATCTGGCTTTCAAATTCCTTTACATCATCACTAAGGTAACGCCCACGCACCTCAGTGGCAGCAGGCACGTCTCCGGAGTTTTCTTCAGGAAACGCAGTTCTCAGACGCAGACTGTGGGCTTTATTCTCTCTCTGTCTTTTTTTTTTTAATATAAGATTTATTTATTTTATTTGTTTTCATTCATCATTTATTTTTACTTTGACGGAGAGAGAAACACACATAGAGAAGAGAGAAAGTGAGAAAGCAAGCCACAACGTCTGGGACTTGAACCGTGGTTGTCCACGTGGGAGTGTCCAGCACCTTAACCACCATGCCACCTGCTCCCCCCATTTCTCTCTGTCATTAACATATGTTGGCCATCAGAGCTTAGGGATCCACTTGGTGTTTGAATAGGTCGATGCATACCTTGCTTGGAAGGAAGGAGGGCCAGAGAGAGGAGAGAGAATGAGAGAGAGAGAGAAATGACTAGATTGGAAATGTTTCTTAAAAAGCAAAACAACTTGGCAGGAGTCAAAGTGCTTCTGAAGCCGCACTGAGCAGACTGCTTCCTGGGGAGCCTCGTTGCGCAGCGGGGCTGGCGGGCTGAGTGTTATGGCGGCAGCTCCCAGGCGGTGCCCATGCTCTGGCCCACAGGGTGTGCATTTGCAGTGGAGCAGTGATGGCCCTGAACCCCAGCGGGGAGGCTCTGTGGCCCTCGAAGGCAGCGCCTCGTGGTTGTGCCGCTGTGTGTCCGGGGGAGGACAGCAGTGGGACTCTGCCCTGCAGCCCAGCTGCTCTCGGACAGGCCCCCCAGGTCAGCGTCCTGTGTCTTACGGACGTGTTGAGTGTGAGGGCCGCAGGATTCCCGGGGTGTCCTCATAGCGTGAGAGGACACCTGGGCGAGCAGCTGAAGGACATCTTCACGGCCACGCCCACGGGCTCCGAGCCTGGCTGGGGCCGCTCAGGGCGCAGTGGGCGGCAGGAGGCTTCGGCAGAGCGCCCTGCCCCTTGCTTGTCTGCCACGGTGTGTCGCGGGGTGCCGGTGGCGTCTGGGGGCAGAGGGAAAAGGCAGTGTTGCCCTCTCTGCACTTCCTGATTGCTGCTGACCGTGGTCTGTATGCGGCAGGTCCGAGGATATAAAACCTTCCTTCGCTTGTTCCCTCACGAGGTCGCTGACGTATGGCCCGTGCTCGATATGTTCGCAAGTCAGAACCCGAAGGACCACGAGGTAAGGGCCTGCCGCCGCCTCTTCACTGCAAAGTCCTCCAGGGCTTCCCCTGCTTTCTTTTCTCTGTGTTTGCTCCATTTCCCGGTTTCCTCCTGTTTTCTTTGTTCTGTTCTGTCACTCCCCTTTTTTCTTTGATTTTTCTGGCTTCCCTTTCACTGGGTGAGCTCCTTCCTGGGGAGGGTGGTGAGGCCGGCCGAGCAAGCCCTGTGCTCTTAGTGTCCGCGGTCTGTAACCGTGACCTGGTGGGCTCTCCCCGCTCGGTGCCCGCGGTCTGTACCTGTGTCTGGGGGGTCTGTCCCCCCTGCT